TCCTGTTGGTATTCTCTGCTTTCAGCCAGGATCCATCTGACAAATTGGGGAAGGTGTTGTTGATAGGTTCCATCAAGTCGAGTATGACTCATATAGTGACTGTATGAACAACAAATCTAAACCTCGTCCTATCCTGTGCCATCCTTACACTTCCTGACACACTATACCCCACTGCAGCAGTCACTGTGTCAATCCACCTGAATGAGGGTCTTCTTCTCCTTTCCTGACCTTCTACCCTTTCAAGCATTAGGTCCCTCCTATAGGATTTGAGGCAAAGATCTGAAATGATTATACATATCAACCTCACCATGTGAATAAGATAGTCTACACAAGGATCAAATTAATTACATCTGTGGTAAGAATCATTGAAGAAGCTCAATATTAGCTGTGAAGACTAGGCTAGATGCAAATTGTGGAATAGACCATCAACTTCTCATTTGCAAATTTAAGTTGAAGTTAAAGAAAATGAATACAAATCCACAAGAACCTAAATTTGTCACTGAGTCTATCTCATCTATGTTTAAAAACCACCTCAAAAGAGGTTTGAGGCCTTGAACACTAAAGACTAGCTAAGCTGTGGAAGGACAGCAAGAATCTTATCAATGAAGAACACAAAAGATTTTTACAAAGACAAAGGAGGAAGAAAAGACGAAGACGGATGTCAGATTGAAGGGAAAGAAAATTAGGAAATTAAGAAGCTGAAGATTTCAAAAGGCAGCTTGTAAAGACAAAGCAAAGTATTATGATGAAATGTGCAATGAGCTCGAGTCAGAGAATCAAAGGGACCAACTTGGTTGGCATTTCTTAAGCTGAAGGAACTGAAGAACAATTCAAGCCTCGAGTTGAAATACTTAAGGATGCGGAATGACCAAAGAAGCATCAAAAAATGATGGAAGGAGTACAGAGTGCTGTACCAAAAATAATTGGCTGACACAGAAGAATTTTGTGAAACATAGTCAACAGGCAATGGTGACGGAGGAGGATATTCAAGCTGCTCTGAAGGAATTGGCAAAAAAACCAAGGTCCCCGGAATTGATGGAATACCAATTGATATTTTTCAGCATACTGCCCTGAGCGTGCTCACCAGGTTGTGGCAAGAAATCTGGAGGACAACTACCTAGCCAACTGACAAGAAGAGAGCGATATTTATTCCCAACCAAAGAAAGGTGATTGAATAGAATGTGGAAATTATCAAACAATACCACCAATATCATATGCAAGCAAAATTCCACTGAAGATTATATAAAACAAGACTGGAACAGTACAATGACAGAACTACCAAAAATACAAGCGGGGTTTATAAGAGGCTGTGGCACTAGCTACATCATAGCCAATGTAAGATGGATCTTGACTGAAAGCAGAGTACCAAGGGAATGTCTGTGTTTTACTGACTATGCAAAAGCATTTGACTGTGTAGATCACAAAAAAATTGTGGCTAACTTTGAGAAGAATGGGATTTCCAGAACACTTGATTTTAATCATGTAAGACCTGTACCTGGACCAAGAAGCAGTTGTCAGAACAGAGCAAGGTAACACTGCAAGAGTGCGTCAGGGATGTGTCCTGTCTTCATACCTTCAATCTAGGTGCTAAACAGATCATTCAGGAGGTTGGACTTTATGAGGAGGAATGTGGGATTACGTTTGGAGGAAGATTCATCAACAATCTGTGTTATGCATATGATATAACCTTGCTTGCTGAAACTAAGGAGGACCTAAGACATTTGCTGCAGAAGGTCAAGAACTGCAGTCTTCAATATGGATTGAAACTCAACATCCAAGAAGGCAAAGATTTTCACTGGGTCAATTGGCAGCACCATGATAGATGGGGAAGAGAATGCAATTATTAAACAATTTCAACTTGCTCAGCTGCAGAGTCAACACTCTTGGCTGCAGCAAATCAAGAGACAAATTATATTAGAAAGATCTGCTATCAGAGACCTCTCCAGAGTGCTAAAAAGCAACAACATCAATCTAGAGATTTAGATCAGAGGCTTGATCAAGTCTTTGCACTTACTTGCTATGCAAGAGCTGGAGAATGAATTAGAACAACAGAAGAAATGATGCCCTTGAGGAGTGATGCTGGAGAGTATTGAACATGCCATGGACCACCAAGAGAACAAACAGGTTTATCCCAGAGGGTAAAACCAATTTGTTCCTCATAGGCAAGGACTTTGAAACTGTCTGACAAACTTTGGGCATGTTGCCAGGAAGGACCAGCCTTGAAGAAAGATATCACGTTTAGAAGGATGGAGGAAAGGAACAGAGAGGAAGACCCAGGGGTAGGTGTGAATCAGAAACAGTGAGACTGGCTCAGGATAGGGCAGAGTTCAGAGCTAATGTTCACAGAGTCACTACAAGTCACAGACGACTCTGTTAATATTAACCACCACCACCACCACCACCGTTGGGATGCTAGCACACAACTCCTTACCACCAGAGCTTCCTGACCCAAACCATGGTATTTTCAATGCTCTGTATGCATGTGAAAGTTGGACAATTAATAAGGAAAACCCGAGAAGAACTGATGTCTCTGAATCGTGGTGATAGCAAAGAGTATACCATGGACTGCTAAAACCCCTCACCACTAACAAATCTGCTTGGATGAATAAAACCCGAGTGCTCCTTGGATGCAGGGATGGTGAAACTTTGTCTCACATACTTTGGAAATACTGTCAGGCCAGTTCTTGAATAAAGACATCAGGCTTGGAAAAGTGAAGGGCCAGTAAAAGAGAAGATGACCTTAATGAGATGGACTTACACAATGCATTGTTGTGGTATGTACCATGGAGCTGCAACCAACCCAAAGCCGATCCTCTAGTGGGTTTTCAGAGGAAGAAAATCACAGGGGAGATTGCTCATCTTTCTCCCACAAGGCAGCTGGTGGGTTTGAACCACATGCTTTTGCATTGGCAGTAAAATTCCTTACCAGTAAGGACTAAGGTGCGCCTGACTCAGGCCATGGTCTTTCCAATCACTCCCTATGCAGCTGAGAACTGGACAATGAATAAGGATGACGGAAGAGTTGATCTCTTTGAATTGTGGCATTGGAGAAGAGTGCTGAATATCCATAGACTGCCAAAAGAATAAACAGGTATGTCCTGGAGAAGGTGCAGCCACAGTGCTCTTTGGAGGCAAAGATAACAGAGTTTGTCTTACATACTTTGGCATGTTGCTAGGAGAGGCTCTTCCTTGGACAGGGACGTCATGCTCGGAAAGGCGGTGTGTCAACAATCATGTGGACTGACACAGTGACACCTGCAACAGGCTTGAGCATGTCAGAGATTCTGAGGATCGCACAGCATAGGACAGGGTTCAGATCTCTTGTTCATAGGGTCACTGTAAGTTGTATTTGAGTTGACGACACTTAACAGCAACAACAAAGCCACCAGAGTTTCCTGACGTTAATATGAGGTGAAAAGACATTCTCTGATGGTTACTAGGGATGAGAGGGGCGGGCCAGGAGAAGGAGAAAACAGAAAGAAAACAAATCAAAAATCTAACACTGACAATACCAAGTGTTGATGAGCGTGAATACCAAGTGTTGATGAGCGTGTGGAGCATCAGGCACATCCCCAGATTGCCAGTGTGAACAAAGACATGCACACACTTTGGAAGATAATTTCTTATTTGACCCAAAAGAAATGAAAACGACTATATAAACTCTTGTACAGGAATGCTTTCAGCAATTTTATTCATGATGGCCAAGAAGTTAAAGCAACCCAAATGTCCACCAAGAGGTAGATGGCTAATAAAGGCAATAAATACTATCCAACAATACAAAGGAATAGAAATACATGCAACAATATACAGGGATCTTAAAAAACTTTATCTTAAGTGAGAAAGTCAGAAAAACATACATACTGTATGATTCCACATATGTGTCATATTCTGAAAAACAAAACCTGAGGAGCTTAGTGACTGCAGAGGGACATGAAAGAGCTTTAGGGGCAATGTGAACATTTTATCTTATTATAGTGGTAATTTCAGGGGTGGAAACATTGGTCAAAATGCAAGAGCATAAATATTTAACTATCATATTGAAATAGATCAACAAAGTATATTTAACCATTGGGGAGCTCTGGTGGCCTAGTGGCAAGAAGCCGCACTGCAATCCCAGAGGTACATGGTTTGACTCTACCAGATGCTCTACTGGAGACGGAGGGACAATCTCCTCCTGTACCAGTCAGATCTGATTTGATGATACACACACAAAAATAATAAAATTCTTTTTAAAAAGTGTATTTAACCATAAACGTACTGTTGTTGTGTGCCATCAAGTTGGAATCAGTTCATAGCTGATCCTCTAGTGGGTTTTCAGAGGCTATACATTGCATGGGAGGTGACTACTCATCCTTCTGAGCAGCAGCTGGTGGATTTGAACTGTCTGCCTTCGGGATTTCAGTGAAGCTTTTTACCACTAGGCCACCAGAGCTCTACTAGTATATAAATTACACTAGTATATTTAAATAGATATTTAAAGCTGAGATTTTTTTTCATATTTAAAGTTGGTAATTTAAAAAGTCAGTTTCTCAGAAGTCTCGGGTCACAGTCAGGCCTCCCCACAGGCCCGCTCTTGCCCGTCCCATCTCCCTGAGTGTGCATTTACATTTCTGCCGATATAACTGCATTTCCTGCCAGGTGACTGGCTCTAGCTGTATCTACTATCTCTCTAACTTAGACCACTGACTGCTAATGATGTGGCACCATTCCTGCACACAAGTTGCTGCTGCATGCTGTGGAGTTTAAACCGATTTCTTCTAGTAAGTGTTCAGAGGCTATTAATGTGAACAGGAGAAAGTCACCCATCCTTCTCCTAAGAAACAGTGGTGGATTTGAACTATGCGCCTTTGGGATTGCACCACAGCTTCTCACCACTAGACCACCAGAGCTCCTGCATATAGCAGGTATTCAATAAACAGATGCAGGAATGAGCAGATGAAGAGGGACAACAGATCCCAAGAAGCAGAGGGCAGCAGCTGGTGGGACTTGACCACCCTGGGCTAGAGCTCTGTGGCCTGGATGACCTCGGGGCCCTTCCATCTGGGCCCCTGGCTGTGGGCTGGGAAGTTGAGTCTATGCAGCTCCTCAGAGATCTCCAAAAAGGTCTTGCCTTTGGTCTCAGGAAGGAAGAAGGCAGTGTAGACAGCCCCACAGATGCAGATGAGGAGGAAAGGGATAAAGAGGAAGCAGGACAAGCCCTCCTGTGGGTTAAGAGACACCAGCCCTTATGGTCCCAGCCAGCTGCTACCCTGAAGGCCCGGGGACAGGTCCTGAGGAGGGGCTTGCCCCACCTTGTGTGTGTAGGTTGCATTCCCACCCACTGTGTCGTCCCAGCCTGGGTCCCCATCTGAGTTCCCCAACAACTCGATGAGCAGTGAGATCAGGCGGGGAGGGGGTGGCTTACCATGATGAAGGGGAAGCCGAGCCCCACCAGGAACAGCATGATCCACAGGAGCGCCCCACACACCATGTAGGCAGCTGGCCGGGCTGTCTGATCAAATAGCTCAGTGGCCAGGATCCCTGTCACTCCAGCTGCAAGATAGGTGGGCACAGAAGGTGGAAACCAGGCCTAGCCATCTGTCCAGGGAACTGGCATGGCGGGGTGATGGTGGTGAGATCTGTGGCTGACAGCAAATACCACCCTCCCACATGACTGAGCTTGAACTCTTCTGCCTACTCACCAGGGCCAATGCCAAAGCTGAGGATGAAGGCGAAGATGCAGGACACAGCCAGGTAGGGCATCCAGGGGAAAGAGCTCTGTGGAGGGGGAGCGAGATGGAGAAAGCCCAATCTACCACGCCCCTTGTCCCAGAGACTTGGAGGGAGGGCCAAGAAGGGCATGACGAGGGAGAATGGACAGACAGGGCCAGGGAGAATAGGCAGAGTGGGTAGGTAGGCAGGGCCAGGGAGAATGGGCAGACAAGGAAAGGGAGAGTGGGCAGGCAGGGCCTGAGGGGTCAAGGGAAGACAGGCAGGGTGGGCAGGGGTGGGGGAGGGTAGGCTGGGAGGGGAAGATGGGTGGGACCAGGGGGAGAAGGCTGGGTGGGGATAGAGGAGGGAGGGCAAGATGAGGGAAGAACCAGGGCCAGGGTTAGGGGAAGGAGTGCAGGATGGGGGGGCAGGGTGAGGGTGAGAGAGGAAGGGCAGGATGAGTGGGGCCAGGGGAGGGAGGGCAAAATGGGTAGGCCAGAGTAGGGGAGGGGCAAGGCAGTTCCTGGGGTGGGCAGGCAGGATGTGGCAGGATGGACCAGGAGGGGAAAAGTGTGGAAGGGAGGGCAGGCAGGAATTCTGTGATGTTGGGGATGGAACTGAGTTGGAGCACAGCTACCTGCAGGCACAGGGCCACTGTGAAGATGCTCCCCCAACAGGTCATCAGGAAGTAGCCCCCCATCAGCAGCACCCGCCGGCCCACTCTCTCAATCACTACACACTGCAAGAGAAGAAATCTCTTTGGTTGCTGACTCATGTGCCAGCTGAGAACCCCTTGGTTTGAGGGTGCAGGAGGAGGCACCTGTCAGGAAGTTGAAAATAGCAGGAAGCACTTTCAGGAGATGGAGAATCTTGCCCATCACTCAAGCTGTCCGCTTATCTCAGCACAGCCGGGGCTCAAGAAATGCTCACTGAAGGGTAATGGGGAGCGGTGGGGGTGGGGGGGAGCCTGGTGGCTTAGTGGCAGGAAGCTGTACTGCAATCCCAAAGGTGTGCATTTCAAATCCACCAGATGCTCTGCTGGAGGAGGGACAATCTCGTCCAGTACCAGTCAAATCCGATTTGATGGTAAACACACACAAATTTAAATCTTTTACAACTGCCTTGATGCACAGAAACCTTTTCTTAAAACAGATACTTGATGAAGTCTTTTGTTCGCATGGTCATGCACTGATGCTTAGATGTTCCAGTTATCTAATATGAACACAGTAGTTTTGATAACCAAAGTCATTCCCCTCCCCATGGTTAGAAACCTCCTTTTGGAAACAACCAGATCCAACAAATCTCAAGCTACTGTGTGTGTGAATGAACACTTCCTTTTGCTTCATATCTGAATGCTGTACATCTGTTTGGATTATATATTGTGTTTGTGTATTTATGCTTTGATTCATAGTAACTTCTCATGTTATGGAATTGATTTGCATTGAACACAAACTGTAAATAAATGGCTGAAAGCAACCCACTGAATTGTAAGGGGTTTTCCCGCCCTTTGTGTAAGGAATGTTTAATGCATAAAAAAAAAAGGTTAATGGGAGTAGGTGTGTTGGAGACAATGGCTCAAGAGAGTTCAAAGCTATTGTACTAGGGTTGCTATGAGTCACATGCGATTCAACTGCATATAACAACAATGACCTCTCCAAATTACTGAAGGGCAATGATATCAGATTGGATAAAAAAATGAGCCTGACTCAGGTCATGGTCTTTTCAGCCACTTGCTATGCCTCTGAGAACTGGACAATGACCAAGGGCAGAAAAATTGGTGCTTTTGAGCCTTAGTGTAGGAGAAGAGTACTGAATATCCCATGAAGTGTCAGAAGAACCAACAGCTATGTCTTGGAGAAAGTATAATCAGAGTCCTCCTTGGAGGCAAAGATGACAAAGCTATTCCTAGGAGAGATGCATCATGTTTGGAAAGGTGGAAGGTCAGTGAAAGGAGAAAGAGCCTCAACCAGACATATCGATACAGTGACTGAAACAATGGGCTCCTGTGTGTCAAAGATGGTCAAGATGGCACAGGATAGGACAGGATTCAGATCTGTTGTTCATAGGGTGAACTCAACTCAATCACAGCTAACAACAACAACAATTCATTGTCCATTAACAGAACCCTGTGAAGAGGGATGGCTATGGGGTTTATCTTTCAATATAGCATCAGGGATGCATACTATTTCCATACCTTTTCAATCTATATGCATAATAAATCATTCAGGAGGCTGGACGTTAATGGCATCAGGATTGGAGGTAGACAAATCAACAATCTGTGCCATGCAGATGATACAACCTTGCTTGTTGAAACTGAGAAGGACATGAGGCATTTGCTGCAGAAGGTCAAGGACTGCAGTCTTCAATATGGATTGAAGCTTAACATCAAGAAAATAAAAATTCTTACCACTGGGCCCGTTAGCAGCTTCATGATAGACAGAGAAGAGACTGAGATTGTTAACTTCAGCTTGCTTGTTCTGCAACCAACACTCCTGTCACAATGTCATTCTAGAGACTAAGGTATGCCTGATGCAGGCTATGGTCTTCACAATGACTTGTTATGCATCAGAGAGCTAGACAAGGACTACGGATAACAGAAGGATTGATGACTTTGAGTTGTGGTTCTGGAGAAGAGTGTTGACCATACCATGGAGTGCCAGGAGAACAAACAGATCCATCCTGGAGAGGGTGAAACCAAGCTGCTCCCTGGAAGCAAGGATTTTGAAGCGTCACCTCACATACTTTGGGCACGTGGCCAGGAAGGACCAGTCCTTGAAGAGGGATATCATGCTTGGAAGGGTGGAGGGACAGCACAGGAGAGAAGAGGAAAACCCAGAATGAGATGAATTGACTCAGTGACTAGGTCTGTGAGAGATGATAAGATTGGCTCAGGATACAATAGGGTTCAGAGTTATTGTGCACAGGGTCACTATGAGTCGCAAGCAACTTGACAGCACAGAATAACAACAATATAATTTCCCTATCCCTTATTTGATATTGCTATGCAAATGGGCAAGATTATGTGACTGGAGGGAGTGGTGGCCTATCCACAAGGGGACTGGCCAGTCTTGCCAATAAGTTGAAGAACTCTACCTGAACAGACAGGAATTCTTCCCCTACCAGAAGAGATGGAATTCTTTTCTGGCCAGAGAAGAGAGACACCACAACTTCCAAGCTCGTGAAATATAAGACATGCTTTGGGACAGCAGCAACAATGATTGCTGAACTGGAGGACTGGTGTGAGATGGGACTCTGGGGGGGGGCAATATTGGCAAGACTGAGAACTTGGGAACACTTAAAGCTTAAGGCTGAGGTGCCTGTGTGCACATTTTGGGAGTTGTCTTGACTCTGTTATTAATTTGAATTATAACCTTTTAAGTTACCCAATATGGTTCTCTGTGATCTGTGAGCTATCACATTGGATTTTGGACCCAGCCAAGCAGCAAGATTGGTGATGAGATGAGTAGGAGGCATGTGAGCATGGAAGACATATCTGACCTTACAGGAATTGGTTTTGTGTTATGAAGCTGTGGGTGGGGATAGCTTCCCCCTGAGAAATTGGTAAAGGTCAGATATGGTGCTTCCTATGTGGCACTTGCTCTTTTTACAATGGTTTGATGCTGAAGACTGTTTCTCAATAAGGTCTTGAAGGACAGAACCTGTCTTGGCTGGATCCACTGACCCAATGACATCACTAGGGTTGATGTATCCCTGACACCCGCTCCCCTCCCCATATGCAACTCCTCCCGCACACAAACAATTCAACTCAACAAAACCCATTGTCACAGAGTCAACTCAGATTCAGAGACTTTCCATCAGGTTTCTGAGGCTATAAATCTTAATGGGAGGAATCTGCTCATCTTGATCCTGCAGAGCAACGGGTGGATTTGATCCACTGACTTTCCAGTAAGCAGTAAGTAGCACATAATGCACTATGTCCCCAGAAACCACTGAGGATCCCTAACTGTCCACTCTCATCACCATCAAGTCAGAACTAACTCACAGCTGACCATCCACCAGGTTTTCAGAGACTGGACATTGCTTGAGAGACTGCCAATATTTATCCCTCAGATTTGAACTGCCAAAGAGGTACAACTTTTGGATTAGTAGGGCAAGACACTTTCTGGCAGTTGAATGCTGGTCAGAGCTATCTTAGAAATACTTATTGTCACTTTTAATTATAAAAATACTTTGTGTCAGGGGAGCTCTGGTGGCCTAGTGGCAAGAAATTGCACTGCAATCCCAGAGGCACACGGTTCAAATCCACTAGATGCTCTGCCGGGAAAGGAGGGATAATCTCCTCCTGTACCAGTCAGATCTGATTTGACAGTACACACACACACACACACACACACACACACACACACACACACACACACACACACACACACACACACACACACACTAATGAAAAATAATAAAATTTAAAAAAAATACTTTGTGTCAAAGTACCTGTGCGATATCATCTCACCCCAGTAAGAATAGCAAAATGTAACATAACAGCAAACAACAAATGCTGGTGAAGTTGGAGAAACTGGTACCCTTATTCACTGTTGGTAGGAGGGTGCAACCACCATGGAAGGCAGTATGACACTTTCTCAAAAAGTTGCAAATAGAAATACCATTTGACCCAGCAATTCCACTATTGGGAATATACCCCAAAGAAACCACAACTGCCACCCAATCAGATATATGCACACCCATGTTTATTGCAGCTTTGTTCACAATAGCAAAGAGTTGGAAACAACCTAAGTGTTTATCAACAGATGAATGGATAGAGAATCTGTGGTATATTCATACAATGGAATACTATGCTGCACTGAAAAACAAGGAACTCATGCAATATTATTAAAAATGGGTGACCCTGGAGGACACTACACTGAGTGAAGTATCTCAGTCATAAAAGGACAAATACTGCATAGTGCCGGAGTTGGGAGAGACTGAGAAAGATGGGATAAATTATGTATACTGCACTGAAACAAATGAGGAAGAGAACTGTTTAAAAGGGATATATTATTAGATATTATTGTCATGACAGGAGTCATGAAGGGAGGGGTTGTATAACAATGAAAGAATTTTTCTTTTAATTTTCAAAGAAAAGAGCGGGAGGAGAGGTGGGCAGGGAGAAAAGTAGAATAATGAATGAATGGAAACCCAAAGTCTCTTGTAACTTTTCATTTAAAATAATAATAACAACAATGACAACAACAATTATAAAACACTACCAAGCCAAAGGTGGTATGGCACTGGTCTGTGCATTGCTGTACAGAGGTAACTAGTGGTTGCTGTGATGCTGAAGCCTGTGACAGTGATGTGCCAATCGTGGTAATGGGCACCCATGGTGGACAGTGTTGGCTGGAGCTTCCCGACTAAATCAAGCCTGGAAGCAGGAGCGGCATCCACTTCCAAAATGGCTTGCCTCCGGAAAATCTATGTACAAACAGTGCTCAGGCTGTTCGTTCATAGGATCGCTATGAGTTGTCTACGACTCGATGGCATTAAACAACAACAACATGTGTAATTACAGAATAATATGTGGATAATAGTAATAAATTATTTACATGTATTATCTTTTAGTTTATAGGGTGCTCTGATAGCCTAGGGGCAAAGAGTTGTGCTGCCAATCCAAAGGGACAAGGTTCAAAGCCACCAGTTGCTCCAAGGGAGAAAGATGGGGAATCTCTTCCTATGTATGATTCTATTCCAACTTGACAGCATATAACAATAACAACCAACAATTTGCCCCTCCTGCTGTCAAAACCTCTTTAAAGTGCTAATTAGAGCAAGTATGTCAGTTTAAAGACTACGATGTACCTGATCCACATCATGGAGTTTTCAATTACTTGGTATGCATGTGAAAACCGGAAAATGAAAAGAAAAATAGAAGAATCGATGCTTTTGAATTATGATATACCATAGACTGCCAAAAGAACAGCTTGGCAAAAGTGTAGCCCAGGTAAGTTATAGAGGCAAAGAAGGTCAAACTTTGTCTCACATACTCTGGGCATCTTATCAGGGGGGACAGCCCCTGGAGAAGGGCAGCATGCTGTGGATTCACATGAATCATAGTGGACTCGATGGCACCTAACAACAACTTCCACAGCCCATTACAACGATGGGAGACTGTGAGGATGACGTAAGGTTGAGCAGGGTTTTGATGTGTTGTACCTGGGCCACTGAGTCACAACTCTAGACAGCCCCTGACAACCACCACCACCAAAAGTGTTTTGCCAAACCTGTTACTAGTCATATCATTATTAATAACTATGAAGCCTTTTCTTTTCCTGTAGTTATTGCTTCATTCTCAGTAAGTAGTAGTGGTTGTTGTTATGTGCCGTCTAGTCGCTGGCAACTCACAGCAACTCTATGTACAACAGCTCTGAAGCCTACCCTGTCCTGAGCCAGTGTCACTGACTCTAACGCACCTAACCCCAGCACCTCAGTTATTGTGTCAGTCCGTCTCATCTGGGCTCTTCTTCTCCTGTGCTGACCCTCCACCCTTCCAAGCATGATGTACTTCTCCAATGACTGGCCCTTCCTGACAACATGCCCCAAATATGTCAGATGGAGCTTCAAAATCCTGGTCTCTAAGGAGAAGAAACTTGGTTTCACCCTCTCCAGGACAGACCTGCTTTCTTGGTGGTCCATAGTGTGTTCAATACTCTTCTCCAGCACAACAACTCGGAGGCATCAATCCTTCTGTTACCCTTAGTCATTGTCCAGCTCTCTAATGCATGGCAAGAAATTGCAAATATCATGGCCTGGATCAGGCACACCTTAGTCTCTAGACTGACATTGCTGCTCCTCAGTATTCTGGGGAGGTCCCTAATAGCAGATTATCCCAGTGCAATTTATCTTTTGACTTCCTCATTGCTGGTGCCAAGAGTGCTGATTGTTAAGCCAAGGAAGCGGAAATTGTTAACAATCTCAATCTTTTCTCCAATTGGCCCAATGGTGAGAATCTTTGTTTTCTTGGTGTTGAGCTTCAATCCATATTGAAGGCTGTGGTTCTTGACTTTCTGTAATAAGTGCTTCAGATCCTCCTAAGTTTTGGCAAGCATGGTTGTGTCATCTGAATATTGCAGATTGTTGATGAGGATTCCTCCAATCCTGATGCCACATTCCTCCTCATAAAGCCCAATCTCCTGAATAATCTGTTCTGCACATAGATTGAGAAGGAAAGGAGACATAATGTATCCCTGATGCATTCCTTTCCTGATTTTGAACCATGCAGTGTTTCCTTGCTCTGTTGTTGATACTGGGTCATAAATGCTAAATACTCCTAATATTGCAATGTAAACACTAAAGAATTTGACAATAAACACTGATTTCATCAGCAGTGAATACATTGTACTCTGCAACTAGGTAGTGGCAACAGCTCTGACCTGAGTGCACTGTTGTTGTTGTGTACCATCGAGTCAGAACCCACCCACAGCAGACCTTCCAGCAGGCTTTCATAGGTGGTAAACCCCCCGGAAGGAGATTGCTTATTCTCCTTCCATGGAGCAGCTGATTGATTAGAACCATTTACCTTTGGGTTGGCAGTGTAATTCCTCAGCAGTAAGCCACCGGAGTGCATTACAAGGTTAAAAAAATTAATTTGCACAAAGCTTAGCCTTGTACCTGTGTCCTGTTGTGCTCACGGGAACTGTCCATCCTCCTCCCACAGAGAAGCTGGTGGATTTGAATAATGTACCTGTGGTACATTATTAAGTGCAGCACCTTACCACTAGGCCATGAGAGCTCCCTAATCTTGGCTTAAGAAAGTATTTTTTCTCTGTTCTAATTAACCACAGGTCTATTTATTTATGTTTTTTTTAAAAAAGCCTGTTGAAACTGTGCACAGAAATTTTATAATGGATATGTCACTTGGCTGTTAGCTGGAAGGCAGTGCTTGTCTCCCGCCTCCCCTGTGCCACCCTCATGCTGGAACCCTGACTCACACTGACAACTGCAGTCAACAGCTCGCAGCTCCCAGTCCCGATGATGGCGTACTGAACCTTCTCGGCAGGGACACCGGCCTCCTGGAACACTGAGG